TGTCTGAGGGGCTCAGACTATCCTTTCCAAGCACTTCCTGCTTCAGGTATCACCTGTGTGCCCATGCCGGAGTGGGACATCGTGTGGGAGAAATGCAAGTGGTTTCCAAATGTAGAAAACTGCACAGAGAAGCATTAATGGGAGGCAGAAAGAGAGTCAGGGTGCAGGGGAGGGGATGTGCCCCAGGAAGCAGGGCTCATTAGGAGCAGGAAGAGCAGGGAGGAGAGAATTGCAGTGTCAGGTCCTGGCTGCTTCTGGGGCTCTTTCCATGGAAGTGCTGAGACCACCAGAGGTATAACCATCCCATTTCTGCAGCGAGATTCCTAATGAGGCAGGGAAAGGGCTAGGCAAATGAACTGCAAGGGTTAAGCCTCAGGCTGGACCCCCCCACCTCCTACTGTCATTCTGGGCAGCAGAGCCAGTTGGTGACAAGAGGCTGATGCTGATGAGGGAGCATGTGAAGTGGGAGCTGTGAATGGGGCTTTATCCCAGAGGGGACTGGCCTTTGCTCCATCCTGCCCCGCTGCCAGCACCAGCTGCAAGCAGAGCCCCATGGGCAGCAGCGTGCCAGTAGCTTCAGTGCATGGCATGTGGGGCTGGGGACTCGCTCTGAGCAAAGGCTTGGCAAAAGGAACTTGGAGCTGACTGACATCCCTTCGTGGCACAGGGAGGTCTTGGGGGAAGATAAGTGTGGCCTGTGGGGCTTTTGAGAGGGCATTAGGGGAGGCTGTGGGCCAGCCCTGAGAAATTGAAATCTGGCTTTTTGCAGGGGATTGTTCAATGCAGGGGGGCAGGGTCTTTGTTTAATGCTGTTTTCTCTTCTTGGCTTTCAGATGAAGCACGCAATAAAGGAAGGACGCAGCTTTGGACATTCCTGCATGGTGCTGTTCTGGGAATGCTCCATCATATCCTGCAACACTGCTCAGGGTGTGGGCTCAGCCCCAGCACATGGACTGTAGCTCTCCAGGTGGCTCTGCCATGGAAGAGTGCACCACCAGGCTCTAAGGAACAAGACAGAGGCATCCCCACTTGAGAAATGCAGCTGCCTTCACAACCACCACTGCTCTGACCTTTCCACTGCTGTGAGGTTCTGCATTCCTCTGTGCTACCACCCCACTGTGCCCTCCACACCAGCTGCCTGCCATGCCGGAGCTGGCAGACCTGAGCTCCCCCCGCACGCCCGCAGATGCTGACCACATCCAGAGGAATATCCTGGAAGAGCATGTGGAGCTCTGGTGGTTCCAGGACCCCAAGAAGTCTATCCTGTGCTACGGGATGGCTGTGGTACTGATCCTGGCTTGTGGGATCGGGGGCATCATCCTGCTGTACAGCACGAGCAGCCGCTCAGGGGAATGGCGCCTGGCAGTGGGCACCACGCTGTGCCTCCTGGCCCTGCTGGTTCTGCTGAAGCAGCTGCTGAGCTCAGCAATCCAGGACATGAACTGCATCCGCAGCCGGCATCAGATAGAGCTCCTGAAGAGCGGGGGCTTCTCGGACTGCCTGGTGTTGCTGCTTAGCGCTCTGGTGCTGCTGGTCTGCGGGGTGGTGCTCACCATCCTCTCCACCACCACCATGCAGCTCAGCCCGGCGCGGCCACTAGCCAGTATGTTCACCAGCGGGGTAATCCTGCTGGCTGCTGGCAGCACTCTGCTGCTCTGCCTGCTGCTCTACTTGCTCTGCACCTCCTGCTGCCAGGCTGCTCCCCATGGCTTGGAGACCGGTGAGATCCGAGTCTTCACCATTTCTGGCCGCCTCGCTGCCAACAGGCGGCTTCCTCCCACCTCCAGCATGGCCAACCTGATCTAACCCACAGCTGCTGCATCTGCACTGTGACAGCCCTGCGTGAGGCTCACTGGATACAGACCTCAGCAGTCCTTGTGCCAGCCTTTCCCAAAGGAAGGGTGGGAGTCGTGCCTCATGTTTTCTTCCAAGATGACTGGCATTTGCTGAACCTCAGGCTCACAGTGTGGTAGGGACTTTGGGTTGCCTCAGCAGGTGTTGTGATCTGGAGCTTTACGACCCTCATTTGCCTTTTATCTCAGCACATCCTCCTGCAGCAGCTGCTGCTCTGGTGATCATGTCTGCTGTCACAGAGCCAAGGTGAGCCCATCCCACAGCTCGGGGACCCCAGAGCCTGGTTCCTGCAATTCCCTGGGTCGTGCTTCTCCTGGCAGAAGGGGTTTCAATTTTCAGTGCTATAATCCCAGCCCAGCTCCTAAGAAATCTCCTGTGGGGGGATTTGTGGGAGATTCTGTGTCTGAAATGCCCTTTATTTTTGTGATGCCAACGTCTTTGCCGATACTACTTTGCTGCAGCCTCACCATACTACTTTGCTGCAGTCTGTGCCTTATCAAAGGGATGACCAGAGGGTTCTGGTTTCAGGGCCGTGGCGGACTATCAGCTTTGTACACTGTGCATTGGGAGGCTCAGTGATTGCACCAGTGCACTGCAGCCCTGCAAGCTATGGGCAGAGAGGTGCCATTGCTGAGGTTGTACTGCTGGGATGCCCAAAGCCCAGAACTGGGGCTTTTCCAACCCCAGATCCCCCAGCACAGACCCAATGGGAGTTGGCATGGCAGCTGTGCTGCGCAGCAGTGCTGCCATTCTGTCCCTTAACCTGAGCTCTGGTGCTGTGCCTCTATGAGGTACCTACCACTGAGTGCCTTTCCTAGAGGCAGGCTTACAGCTCACCCTCAGAAACCTCAGAAACCTTTCCTGTGAATTGAGGATAATTTACCTCTCAACATTTTCATTCCCTCCCTGGGCCCACAAACCATTTCACTGCTCCTGCACTTTCCATAGACACCGATCCTAACCTTCTTAGCCATGCTGTTCTACTGCAAACTTCTCTTTCTCTGCATCTTCCTATCTGCTCTCATCTCCCCCGATCTGCGTTGCTCTGCTCCGACCACTATTTTTGCCCACTATTTTCCAAGTTACCCATGAGAATTCGGATCTCTGTAACAGAACAAGACTGAACTATTCTTTTTTGTGTTTGGTAGCAAATTTACTTTGAAGATGACAATAGCTCATTCCCTTAGGAACACCATATGTCACTGCCCACGTTACACCCAGTGCATCTGTGAGCCCCACCAGGTTCTGCTGGACAAGCTCCAGAGCTTATCATTCCTGATGCACTCAGATCACAAGAGCATGTCTTTATTCATCTGGTCTTGTCCTGCTCCTGCTGACTTTCTCTCCCCCAGAAGCTTTGGATTATTTTCCCCAGAATATGGGAACATTGTGATGGTTTTTCTTTTCTGGATCTGTTATTTCTATATTTTCCTCTGTCACTTTCATATCATTTGTAGATCTTATTAAACTGCTGTTTCCTTCTCTCTGGATCACTTCCCTTAATCTGCCCAAAAATTAAGAGGGTGTCACTAAGCTCAGATCTTTCTGTGCTAAATACTCTGCCTTTGTGTAGCAGAGAGCAGTCCTTCGCCATAGGGCTGCTCACCCCAAGGATGCTGTGTGCAATATCAGGGGAAGGAAGCTGGTCAGAAGTTTTATATAACCCACAGCTGCTGCTCTGCACATCTGTGTGGGTGCACATGCAGTTACACCAAGATGCACCAGTTCTGCCCACCTTTCAATTGCTCCCAGCTTTCCCAACCTGCACACCCACTGTTTTGCACATCTGGGCACCTCTGGCAGATGCATGCCTGTGCCCAGCTCGCAGTTTCATGCTGCCTGCCTGCCAATGTGAATCCTTCCCTTCAAAGCCTCTTCAAAATGTGCACACGTGAACTCTGCCAGGAAAAGATGCTTGGTGGCCATATCCCTGCCCAAGGAAGAAACGTGTGAGAAAGGCTGTCTCTGAGCAGGGAGGTTGGGGTGTCTGGCTGCCCCGATGGACGGGCTGCACTGACTCACCTCCTGCAGAAGCGTTACTGTTTTGTTCCTTTCTCATTTCCTGTATTGTGCATGGAAATATATAATAAAGCGTTGCACAATTTGGCTGTGCCAAAAGATGGTGCTTCACTGTGGCCTCTCTTCCAAACAGGAGATCTCAGGGCTGTGCAGAGCTGACCTCTTCTCAGAGCAGGAATCACAATAGCTGCAGTTTCAGTTCATCTGCCCTCATGGCAATGTCCCCACACACCCAGCTGCATGTACTTATCTCCTGGTACATGATTCCATCCTCCTGATGCTCATGCATCTCCCTCTGCTTTAGGACTTAGCCACAACTGGTCCCCCTTAGGCTTTATGAACCTAAAAATCTTACTGCCATGCCCCTATAAGGAGCTACGGGGAAGCATACAAAGCCACCTGGCTATAACAGTGCCAATCTGTTTGTTGACAGAGTAGCTGCTTTACCTGCGGTGGGGCTGAGCCCTGAGCCAGGTGGTAGCAGCTGCTGCCTCCAGCAAGCCTGGAACCAGTCCGCCTGCATACCTGCTGCTGCTCACTTCCGCCTGTCTGAACTGCTGGCCTTCAGCCTTTGGCAGCTTCCAGGATCACCCTGGTATGAAGAGGCTTCTCCTTTCTACTCTGCCTCTCTGATGTCCCCAGCTCTGCAGTCCTGATGCATTTTTCCCATTTTCCCTGGCACACATGAGCTGCCGGTGCAGGCACCAGGGCTGCACAGCCTCATGTCAGAAAAGCATCCATGCGGAAAGATTAAAGGGTAAACTGGGAACTTCCACATGGGGTCAAAGTAGACAAGCAACTCACCACTTGGCAAGTAAGTGAGATTCTGGGTAAAACAATCTGGGAAGCACTTGTATGTTTAATCTCCTCTAAGGCACTGATGAGATCAAAAGTAAAATACTGTGTCCTGCAGGAGTTCTAATCATAAAAAGTGTATTGAATATCTCAGGAGCTAGTATCCAAGATGAAATGCATTTTTCCAGTCCTGTTCCTTCAGGAAGCATTTAAGCTTCCTCTTCTATGTGACCTGAAAGATGCTAGAAATTTCCTAAAATTGCAGCATTTTTTGCATCGTATTTTCAGAGTGAAGGGCACAGACAGTAAGGGGCTCTTAAGATGAGCCCAGATGACAAAACACGGAGCAGTGACTACAAAATTAAGCCAGGAAGTGCTCAGTTTATAGATAAGGCATATAAGAGAGAGAACTGACTGACCATTGAAACAAGGCACCAGGTTTCCATCTCTTCATAGTTTCAGGCAAAATGTTCCTTGCCTGAGAAATGCTCTAAGCTTCCTCTTTGCTTAGTGTCTGGAATGCCTGCTCCAGTAGTGCCCTTTGCTTTACATTCTCTGAGGTGTGTTATTTGCTTTTGTATACACTGTGTTGCGTAAACATCTTAGTAGGAAGAGAAGTAAAGGAAAAGACAATTTATAATGAAGCAGTCAGCAGTGGGGAGCCAGCCGCGTGGCAGGGCTGCAGGAAGGCATTCCCCTGAGGAGCAGGGCGGAGGTTCCCAAACTTTTAGGGACAATGAGAAGTGAGCTGTGACATCTCACCACAGAGATGACATGAATGTAGCAATTAGAATAGTTGCAAAATGCTACGATGGTGGCTGTGCAATCAGTCCTGAGAGGTGGCCATTTCATGGTAGCACACGTGCCCACCTGCCACTGCAGATGTTCTATGTGCCTCTTCACAGTAGCTGCTTAGTCAAAGGCTATCACTGCCTGTGCACAGGAGCAGAAGCTGCCACAGCCCTTCAGGTCTCCTCCTGAGGCTGAGGAGAGGTTATGACTAAAGTCAAATGCAGCTGAAAAGCACCCATCTCCTACTACTAGTACTAGCCTTCCAGAGTCATAATGAGCAATTACCTGGGCCAGAGGAGGAAGCCTGGCAAATGGGACCTCCTATTTTCCTAATTATTTTCATGCCTTCACCTGGAGAGCCCAAAGACCTCAGTTCCTAAGCTCTCTGTGTTTTAATACAGCTGGAGGGAGCAGCAGAGCACAGGAAAGAGACTGTCCTGCCAGCAGACAGCTGTGGAGCTGCTTCCTGAGCATCCAGCCCTGGTGGCTCACATAGTACTGGAAGCAAACACTGCAGCAGAGCCTTCTCACACAAAGATAATTCACTCCTGTCATCCACAGTGTGTATGGGTTGTTCAGCATCACTTTACCTGTTTTATCACTCAGTAAACTGATCAATTGCACACCTTGTTTACAGCATCAGTGTGAACACCAAATGGCTGCTGCATGAGGAGTGAATATGATGCCAGCATAAAGAGGATCTGGACTGCCTTCTTGCTGGTAGCAAGTCACAGCAGAGGATGGGGAGCTGGAGGGTCTTGGCAGCACTGCTCTACGGGACATCCCATGCCCAAGACAGGGCAGCCAGCCCTGTGCAGTCCGCAGGGGAGTCAGTGGGATAGAAGCTGTACTGCCCCACATGTAGGACTGACACAGGAAATCCTTGCAGTGTAAGCAATAAAAGTTTGCTAACAAAAGGATTGGCCATCTGAGACAAATGTAGAGGTCAGGCTGCCACACACCACTGGCCAGATGTAGGGCCATGGAGAGAGAGAGAGCCCCAGCAAACCATCATAGGCAGAGGCAGGGTTGAATCATGCTTTAATTGCTCCCAGAGTGACAACAGAGTGGGGACAGTGCAGGGCCAGGTCCAGTGCCACAGGGCAGAGGGGCTGGTGCCCAAGTCCCCACAAGGAGCAGCGGGACAGGGAGAGGGGCAGACCCATCCCTGGGCATCTTGCCTTGCCCAGCTGCAATCAAGATCATCCTGTTCATCCTCAGTACCCAAGCAAGACTGGGAGAACAGCAGCACATCTGGTGTCTCCAAGCCAGTGCAGCTCTGCTGGTGTCACAGCAGGATACATGGACACCTTCACCCCACTCCTTTCCTCCTGTCCCCATCTGCATGGGGACAAAAGCCAAGGGTAGGTGGAGATGGCAGGAAGGAGATGGGGGCATGGGGATGGAGATGGACTGCAGCCTCATATGGAGATGTGTGACTCTCTCTCCTCTTCCTCTGGCAGCCGCTCACTGGGCTGAATGTAGTTGTCCTCGATGAAGCCATCATCATCTTCAACATGCAGGCCAGTGATATTGGACACGGGGGGGTTCTCACTGTCACCCCAGCCTGAGGAGCCCCTGTCCCAGCCAGTGCCCTCCTCCAAGGGGCTGCCTCCAATCGAGCTGGTTTCAGGCAGCGGCCGGTGGCGGTAGCTGGTGAAGTTCTTGTGGCAGATCTTGCACTTGGCAACCAGAGCAACCAGGATGGAGATGCTGATGGCAGCCACCAGGAAACCCACTAGGTAGGGCCAGCTCCTTCCTCCCTTCCCCACAGGTGGCACGGTGGCTGCAGCAGAGGACAGGCCCATCAGGGCTGGGCTGTGGCACAGCAGGTGCTCCACCACAGCTTACCACGTGCATGCTTCACAGTGCTGCTCGTGGTGGGGAGGCCACCCCTGGGGGTGGACAGGAGGAAGGCAGCTCTCCCTGAACCAACTTACTGTTGTTGTTTGTAACGGTGGTCTGCTGTGCTGGGCTGACATCTCGAGGAAACCTCTGGCTTTTTTGGCAGCCCAGCTCCCAGGAGTCCAGAGTTGCGATGTCCTGTCCCTGCAGCTCCGAGGGTGACGCACAGGTGACATGCATGGCTGGGAGACAACAGGATAAGGTGGGACAGGGGATCTTCACCTGTTCCCTCCCCAGTTTAGAGAAAGCATTCTCTGCTTGCTTTCAAGCACTTCTAATGCTGCCCTCCAGTCTTGTCAGTCCTCAGCTCTGTGTAAGGCACTACTAGAGAAAAAAATCTCTGACTGTGGAGCCCCCAGTAAACAGAGCTGTATGAGTGTGTGACCACCATTAACAGCTCTACTTAACTAAGCAATGCCAAATTCATGGACATCAATAGAAACTCCATGGTCACAGGGCTGCTCTTGCCTGGGAGCCAAGCTTGAGGGGCTAAAGCCTGATCGTGTTCCTCAGGAGATGTTGAATGCTCGTGAAGATCTGTGTACTTCATGCAGATACGTGTATATGGATTTAGGAATGTTAATTTCCCAGAAAAGTGGCTGAAGTATAGATCTCTGAATATTTTCCTCCTGTCTGTCATACCCAGAAATCTTGGATATTGTATGTACCTGAAAATGAAGAACTGAGACATTATGTCTCAGTTTGTTGTCCCTCAGAAGGGAGGAGAGCAGTCTTAGGGCTGGAGCAGAAGGATCAAATTCCCTCTTCCAGGATCCCTCTCATCCCAAACCCTTCCTGAAAACCGTCCCCCACCTCTCACCTTGCCTGCGCTTCAGCCACTGCTGCAAGGGATATGTGACACAGTCACAGACCCAGGGGTTTCCATCCAGCTGCACCCATGGGATGGCCTCCATCAGCTGCAACATCAAAGTGTCCACGGACATCAGTGCATTGTTCTGCAGGTTCAGGTGGAGGAGACTTCTCAGCGGCAGAAAGAACGGGACCTCCAGCTCTCGCAAATTGTTGTTTCTTAGAAGCAGTGTTTGCAAGTTTTCCAAGCCCTTGAAAGCGTCTGTGTGGAGGTAGGTGATGCTGCAGTTGCTCAGGTCCAGCAGGCATAGTGCCCTGAGGTTGGAGAAGACGGCGGGGTGCAGTGTGAGCAGGGCGTTGCTAGAGAGGTTGAGGGAGCGCAGGGAAGGGAAATGCATCAAGAGTGTCCCGCGCTGCGGCATGACCAAGCTGTTGAAGGAGAGGTCTAAGCCGGTGATGTTTCTCGGAAGGGAGCTTGGAGCGTGCAGGAGGCTCTTCCCGCTGCAGTCAGCCCATCCCTGGGGAAAGAGCTGCTGAGATGGGCCCTTCGCCTTCTGAGGGCGTCACTGTCACACTGCTGCCAGTCACTGTGTCACCACATGTGTAAGCAGGGGCTCCCTGCAGTGACACAAACCTGGCACAGACCCGATTTTGGCTGGGATCCCTCAGGAACGTGCGCTGCTGCTCACAGGCGGCCGCGCCGCTGCAGCCAAGCAATGCCTGGAGCAGGCAGCACACCAGCCCAGACGAGCCCGTGCCAGCCCTGCCGTGCTCCAGCAGCCATCGGGAACACCACCACCCGCACACCTGCCCCAAGCCCCTGTCCCTACCTGGTGGTCCAGGCCACAGGGCCGTCCTGCCGCCGCCACCCCCCAGGCGCAGAGCAGGCCGCAGACACCCAGCAGGCCGGTGGGAGCCATTGAGCTCCAGGAAGCTGCAGGGCAGAAAAACAAGTTTGAGGGCGGGCGGTGCAGCCAGCTGTGCTGGTGAAGTGTGGCGGTGACGGGGATGGCCGTTCCTGGGCAGGCCATGGCTACCTTGATGCCCCACGGCGCCGCTCGCCCAGGGCCAGCCTGGCGGCCACATTCCCTCCTGCGGCCGTGAGGCAGGGATAGAGGCGGTGGTGCGGGTTACACATTAACCACCGCGCCCCTGGGCTGCTCCGGGTCTGGGGCAGAGCAGGAGGTGGGCACGGAGGTGGCACCGTCTGCCTGTGGCCCCAGTGCTGGCAGCAGCCTTTAACCTCCCTTGCAGGACACCCCTGGGGCTGCTGTGCACGGAGGGCAGAGCAGGCCTCCAGGAAAGCAGTGCTGGCAGTGCTGCTGAGGCAGCCATAGGTGGACATGCAGGGTGTTTGCGTTTCCTATCAGGAAACGTATCAGCACACGATGGTTTCTGGCATGCTGTGCTTTGGATTAGAATATGCGAATGGTAACAAAAAGGGGTATTTTTGTCACCAGCTGGTTTTTTTGTTTGTTTTTAAAGTCTAATGTGATTCAGCAGAAAAATTCATGGCTGTGAGTCCAGCAGAAATTCAGTGCTCTGTGCATGCTGTGGGTCTTTTCATGTTAGAGGTATGGTGGGCATGGCTGCACTGGGGTTGCTGGTTCCTTGCCAGAAGATGCAGGGCCATTACTGAATGTCTCCATGAAACCTCCTGGAGAAGTCTCCTTCCTGCCCGCAACTCAAGGGATCTGCACAAATAGAAACCTCCAGGAAAAAAAAAATGCAAAGGAAGATGTTTTCCCATCCTTGGAGACATTCAAGGTCAGGCTGGACCAGGCTCTGAGCACCTGATGGAGCTGTAGCTTTCCCTGTTCATTGCAGGGGAGTTGGACTAGATGGTCTTTAAGGGTCTCTTCCAATGCAAACGATTCTGTGATTCTATGATTTTATAGGTGTGGTTGGCTCTGATTCCTTCGTGGATCCCCAACATCTGCCTAGTGTGGGGAGCCAATGGTTAATGGATCCAGCTCCCCAACAGACCACAGCAATGCCCTGGCTCCTCTTCATGCAGCTAGTGGATATGTGCTTTGCTCTCCAAGGAGCGTGCTGCAAGGCCTGCTTTGCAGAGCGTTCCCACAAAGTGTGCTTGTTCCACATCAATAATCCCTTTATCACAATGATTCCTCATGTTGGACAACATTTCACAAAGTGCATCTCAGTCTATTGTTCTGCCTGTATGGCTGTGCCACTGATGACTGGAGCGCACACTGGCCATCTCAAACATGGGTAAGCACGAGGTGGCACAATAGCAATTATAGCTCTGAGCATGACTGACCTCTACCACCAGTAAACTATAGGAAGCAGCCAACTATTTATGTATTCACCTACCTATCCCCCTTCCTGCAGCTGTACTGAGCTCACTGATGAGTCCCTGACCTGAAGAGCTTGCAAACAAGCTTTGGATTGACAGGCATAACAACACGAACTGCAGGAGGAATCAGCTGCTGTAACTAGCCCTTGTGTTCAGGTTGGGGCAGCCAAGGACACATGTTCATCATTTAAAGATGACCCTGCCTTGGGGTCTCCCAAAGACTGACTCCCTTGCCTACACTCCCTACTGAGGGATGTGGTCAGTGGGCATGGTGGGGTGGGTTGGGGTTGGACTGGATGATCTTAGAGGTCTTTTCCAACCCAACAATTCTGTGTCTTTCTGGGTAAATGTAGGCAGCTGCACGCAGTGCCCATTTTTCAGGGTCTCTTCATCACTCAGGGAGCTGCTGGTGGCAGCATGTGGCAACCAGGCGCTGGGGTGGCACAGCACAGTCCCTGTCTGCTGCCATCACTCTGCACTGCTTGGGCCCCATACAGCCCCAGAGCGCACTGTAAATAGTCGGAAGCGATGAATGGATTTCCCCTTCCTCTCCATGTGTGCTTTAGATTTTTGGCCGGATACAGCATGGGCTTGGGACACACCAAAACATGGATCTTTCTCCCCGGCAGGCCAGGCTTTCACATGGGAACTGCTCAATATGCTGCTTGCAGAGCAGTGTGTGGTCAAGTGGGTAAAGATTGCAGTGATTTCCTCAGGAATGCCATGCATTTACCCTTGCCCTGCACCTGCCTGAGCCCACCCTGGCCTTACAAGGTCCCTCGGCATACAGTGCGGCTGCAGCCATGGCAAGGCCCCGAGCTTTCCCCTGGGTGTAGCCCAAGGACAGGCGGTTTCTGAAACAGGAAAGAGGGAGACAGGCTGGAAGGCGGTCAAGGAAAGCCAGGCTTTCTGCTGCTTCCAGCTTCCTCCCAGACGTGTTTATGGCCCTGCAGAGCAATCTTCTCCCCCCAGCAGCTGCTGCCCTCCTGCCCAGGCTGTCCAGCTGTTTTCTGCTGTGAGGGCTCTGCTCAGCCACTGCCGAACTAACCCCCCTGCCTTGTGGCAGAATGGCTGTGAGGTCCCCACTTCCCTGCCACTCAGCCCTGCAGGGACATGGATGGGGCTGTGGATGCTGGTACCCTGCTGGGGCATTCTGTACACACTGCACTACCATACCGGCATGTGGAAGTGCGGGGGAAAGCAGCAAGGCAAGGAACAGCAGCAGGACTTCGCTACCACTTGGTCAGCTCTCTGAGGTGAGGACATGAGTTGGTGGCCCATGCAGGCTCATGGTGGTCAAGGTGTCCTGAGGTCTGCATGGCCTCGGTGCCGGGGGCAGAGCCCTTGAGGGTCAGCTCCCGCCTGCGGCTCCTGGAGTCAGGGCTGGCTCTGAACAATGGGTGGAGAGCAGGAAACGCCGCATGGGAAACAGGATTTGGCTCCGCCGCCGCCGCCGCCAGCCGCGGCCCCTTGGCCCCTTTCCTTTCCCTGCTCCACAGAGCCCTTCCCATAGCCGCGGGGCACGCCGAGGCGATGAGGATGCCGCTGCACGAGCAGGCTCGGGCGTGAGACCCTAACTATTGCAGGCAAGAAAGGGGCTGGGATACCACCCGGTCACGCTGGGGCTCAGCATGGCTGGGGGCACCCTGAGCATGCCATTCTAGCCCCACGGGAGAGCCCCACCGGGCAGCAAACCTCAGTGGCCCCTTTGCCACACAGCTGGGCAGCAGCCGAGTGGGTGGGGACGAAGGCATCATTCACACCATGCCCCAGCTATGATCCAGAGGAAGGGGTCCTGCCCACCCCGGTCGTCAAGCAAGAGTGCTGGGGCAAGATGGAGAGTGTGGGACAGGGGTCCTGAGCCTCCACTCATGTGGAGCCCCTAGGCAATTGCTACCACTGGCTCTGTCACCCGTGGCTGGGATGTGCTGGATATTTTCCTGTGCCAGATTTGGGACACATTTCAAGGACATGGGACTCCAGTTCTATCTTCTGCTTCTCCTCCCATGGATGGCAGGTAAATGACTCCTTTCCCTCTGCCCTGCAGGTAAGCCCACTCCCCAGGGGGGTTTGGTGGGACAAGGAAGCTGTGGTGGTCCCAATCAAGCAGGGACTCAGGAGGGGCATGAAGGGAGGAAACATCCCTTTGAGATCAGTGGTTTGAGTTCTCAGGGCTGAGCTTTGGGGCTGAGCTATCCTCTTCTCTACCCCAGCTTGGAACACAGGCACAAGCAGATTGCAGGAGGAAGAACCTCATAATACTGCACACTTGGCTCTTGCAGTAACCTGAGCCCATGGGGATCTCCAAAAAGAGACTGGAAGTGTCCACTGTGCCATCTGATAGCCTGGGGGCAAGAAGGACTTGGAAATGGGTTTGAGGTTTGGGTTATGGGGTCTCTCCCTGTGACTGACCTAGATAGAGGAGGCCATGTCCTGGTCTGGCTGTGACATTCTCTCCTGCTCCCCTCAACAGGGGCCATTCTGGATATCACCCTGATTGCCAATGTGCAGAGCCTGTCCCACTCTGACTTCTTCCTCTCCTGCATCATGGGGGAGCGCGACGTGAGCTACCTGCAGATTGAGCGGGAGAACAAGATTGTGATGACACACCCCAAGACAGGCTTCCAAAACTACCGCAACCGCAGCAACTACGTCCAGGCCAGGGGCTTCTCCATGCCTGACCTGGTAGGGATCCTCTACTGCCTGGGGCGCACACCAACAGAGCAGGCCCAGGTGGTCTATGTGCACAACAGCCACAATGGTAAGTGCTTGATTGGGCTCTGGGGAGCGTGATGCACTCACTCACTCACTCACTTACTCACTCAAGGCCAAGTTTGATGGGGACCTGGGCAGCCTGATCTACTGGGTGGGAGCCAGCCCACAGCAGAGGACTTGGAGCTCGATGATCTTTGAGCTCCATGATATTTGAGGTCCCTTCCAATCTAAGCCATTCTATGATTCATTGAGACTAAGTTTGGGGTCTGTTGGCACCATGGCAGCTCTTGGGTCAGCAGGCAGCTGCTGCTGTGCCCAGCCCCTCTGGCCTTTGTGCAGAACATGAGAGAGGTGACGGACCACCACCAGGTCTTGTCTCGCTCAATCACTTGGTGTGAGTGGCAGCCATTTGAATGTTTGTGTGGTGCAGAGGGTTGATCTGTGGTGTACGGGAGGTGGTAATTGGTGCAATGAAGAAGCGTTTTCACCCCATGAGGATATGAGAAAGTTTTTCAGCTGGAGGAGCATGGCCCAACTCCAAGGGCGCTTCATGATCGGCTGCCAGCAGCACCCGCCCCAGGGAGGTGTGCGGGAAGGGCGGCTGCAGGCAGTGGGTGGGAATGGTGCCTGTGAGCAGAGCAAGGTCCAGGTGGAGGGAAGCCAAAGGAAGCGGTGAGGTCTGGCAATCATCAACCAAAAGCAGGGTGCCATCAGGCAGTGCCAGCCTCTGGTCTCACTGGCAGGTCTGCCTCTGCCCTCCAGCAGGTTCTTGGGGAGGGCATGGGGTTCACTTCCTGCTCCTGCTCCTTGTTAGGGCCACACTGGGATAATGCCCAAGGGCACACAGTCCCCAGCACTGCCCTCACTGACTTCACAACTCTTGAGACTTCACTAAGTTATTAGGACAGAAATTCTCTGTGATAGGTGTTTTCTACTGGGTGTTTTCAAGCTCTTTGTTAGAAAGTTTTGGCTAAAACAAGACATCTCCCTGCCCATGTTAAAATACAGCTCTATCACAGTGTTTTGAGCTGCTCCAGTATCTCCAGCTGGGGAACAGACAGCGATAAGGACCATGCCGGTGGGGTGCAAGCATCCTCTTAGGAGCAGGGACTGCTCTCTGTCCTTGACCAGAGGCTGACACTGAATATGGCAGCAGCCTTATCAGAAACAGAGACAGCCGGTCTGGGCAAACAGAGCTCTGGGGGCACCAAGGGAGGAAAGCAGAGCACTGGAAAGTGGAACAGCAGGCACAGGGTGTGCAGGAACAGAGGGGCACAGACATGTTGCTACGTTAAGGGAATGAGGGGGGCTTTGTGCACTGACTTGGCATTTGTGTCTCCCTATGTATGTCATGAGTGAGGTGGTCGGTGAGATCCAGGTTCATTCACTGGCCCAAAGCCCCTGCAGAAGTTAGAAGTGCCAAAAAAGCTGATGTTGCTCTGCTTAATTTAGATAAGGAGAAGTTTAGAAAAAAATGAGGAAGACTGATAGAAGGAAAAAGTAACAAAAAGATTAAATCTTTTCCAGAGAAGTGAGGACTGTGTAAAGAAACCACGCTCAAGTGTGCGTTGTATCAGCTCTCACAGTGCAGCTGAATGTTCACAACAACATGTGTAGGGAATGCTGCCCAAGGACAGTGAGTGTCTTCTAAGATGCATGAGGGCAGAGGAAGGATTATCAGCTTTGAAAGTAAAAACACAGGAAAAAAAGACCAATCAGACCTGGAGAGGCAATCTGAGAAGGGTTTAAACCCAACAAACTGTTTTGTCAGATCACCAAGCAGAGAGGTGCTCAGAGAGGCCACAGCAGAAAAAAATAAATTCTTTTATTTTTGCATCTGTGAGCACAATAGGGAACTTCAGGAAATCTGCCAGAGGATATGTCTAAAATTACAGCACTGATAAGAGAAGACAGACAATAAATAGCTGAAACAAACATTGCCAAGACCTCTCCTTGCCTTGCAGTGGTGCCAGCGGTCAGGCTGCAGAGCTGCTGGTGTGCTGCCAGCAGGAGTCAACCTGTGGTTGCTGGGGCTCCTGGTTTTCAGGGTGAGATGTGGTGCTCTGCTCAGGGCATCAGACCCTGGCTGCAGCAGTGTGTTTGTGGCTACAGTGTAGAACCAGGGCTAAAGCTGCAAAACCCATGGGATAACAATACTGAGCATGGCAGAATAAATAGATATAAGTTGGCAGGATGCTGGGCTCCAAGCACCACTGCTCTCACCCAGCTTCCACAGCCTGTTGAAGGGTGTGTGATCTGGCACACTGGGAGGCTCTGGTAGCCAATATCCGAGTGTGCCCTCTTTTGTGTCATTACTGGCACACCCAGGGCTTGGTTTCCCAGTCCTTAACATATTTATAGCGTGGTTTGGGCTCAAAGCTGTGCCCAGGCTCACTCACAGTATAGCTATGAGAGTGGTGCATACCCCAACACCTGGGAAATTGGGTAAACATGTGTGAGTACTCTGCTAGAGGCAGGCAAAGACACAGGTCCTGCCCCTTGCCTACACACCTCCCAGTCTGGCAGCAAGCAGCGTCTCATGCTGTCATATCTCCCCAGGCTGCTGTCACAGCATCCCGTGCTGGGACAGCGCAGGACAACCCAACCCTGGGTGCCATCCCTGGTTTCCTGTGGCTCCTCTGCCTGAGGTGTGTAGATGGAGCTGTGTGTGGTGATGTCGCCACAGAGAGGTCTGTTAGGACTGAATAGAAGGGTGACTCATACAAGCACTGCCCTCAGCCTGCTCCTCTTTCTCTTTGGCAGCCCACCTCTTTCCAGTGAAGGCCACGCAGTCTGTGAACGTCGGCGAACCGGCCACCTTCTCGGCCAGGGTCCTCAGGAGGAAGGAGATGGATGTAATGTGGAAAAGAAATGGCAAGTGGCTTCACAAGCAGGGCTGCAACCACCCAGTGCCCTGCACTGACCCTGCTTCTAGCTGCCCTCACTCCCCCACTCCAGGGTGCAGCAGTCCCCAGGTCACCCCCTGTCTCCCTGCAGGTACCTACTACCAGACCACGGACCGAGGCGAGGTGCGGGGTGATCTTTTCACTCTAACACTCCCGAATGTCAGCATGACTGAGAATGGTGTCTACAGTGCCACTTTCATGGGAGACAGCCCTCTGTGGAGTGCCTTCTACAGACTAATCGTCAGAGGTGAGTGGGGCCAGGGAAGTAGCACTCCACTGTCCCTTTCCCATCTCATGGGGACACACGGCCAAGTGCCAATCCAAATCCCTCTGCTCTCCCTGCAGCGTGCGCTGCAAAGAAATGGGGTCCATCCTGTGAGAAGGACTGTCCTGACTGCCTGAATGGGGGCATCTGTCATGACCATGTCGGTGAATGCATCTGTCCTCCTGGCTTCACAGGCACCCGCTGTGAGAGAGGTAGGTCCAGCAGCTGCATCTGCCCTGAGGGGATGAGCTGTGTCCCACTGTACTCCAAGATCTTGTCACCATGGCCAGAAACTCACAGCACCCCCAGCATCTGCCTATTCCCAGTGCTACTTCTGTCACCTTGGCAGGACAAACACTGGGGCAGGAACTCCTTGCCTGCTGGGGATGGTGCTAGGGAACTCCATGAAGCACTTGTTTTCCAGCCTGCCGGGAAGGCCAGTTTGGCCGCAACTGCCAGGAGACGTGCCAGAGAGCCCAGGGCTGCAGGGGGCTGAGCTTCTGCCTGCCGGACCCCTATGGCTGCTCCTGTGCCTCAGGGTGGAGCGGCTCCCGCTGCACCCAAGGTATGGGAACATGGGAATATGGGTAGTATCCTGCCTTGCCTGCTGGCTTGAGCACCAGCACAGGCTGAGCATGTGCACCCATACAGTGTGGCCAGGGGTAGCAGTGGACTCTCCTCTTCCCACAGCCTGTCCCCCAGGATACTATGGCCCCGACTGCGCTCTGATGTGTGCCTGCCGGAATGGTGGCAGTTGTAACCGCTTCAGTGGCTGCATCTGCCCTGCAGGCTGGCATGGGCAGCACTGCGAGAAGTCAGGTGAGGCTGGCACAGGGCCATGGAGGGGCTTTGTCCCCTGTGGGTGGGCTCCAGCTCCTTCCTCATTAAAGGGAGCTGATACCAATCTCCACAGCCAAGTGGGCAGCCTGCCTTGCTGGTAAAAATAGCCCCTAGACCCATAGAAACCGTGGTACTGCAAGAGGGAGAGTGGTCTGGCTTTCCCAAATTGGATGTGCCAAAGAGCATCCCTGAGCCTGGAGTGTGGGGTGGATCTGAACTGGACCTCAGTGCTCAGACATGACCACCCACACCGGGAAAGGTCTGAAAGTCCTTTATGAACAGGGAGGAGTGGGATGAACCCTAATGCTGATTTCTCCACACCAGACCGCTTCCCCCAGATCATCAAACTAGCCTCAGAGCTGGAGTTCAACCTGGGCTCAGAGCCCATCATCAGCTGCGTGGCCACCGGCAACCCGCTGCCTGCAAGCGATGGCGTGGAGCTGCGCAAGGCTGATGGCACCATGCTCAAGGTACCTCAGAAGCCACTGTCCACAGCCCCGTGTTTTCACCTCACTGCCATCCTTTGGCACTGTACCTGCACCCAAATGGCAGGACCTCCAACATGGTGGGTGACAACTCCATCAAGTGGCAACCCTGGTTGCCATGGTAGCTGATAGCACCTCTGTGCCCACAGCTGGTCAAAGCCATCATAGAGTCGGGGCAGATCACGTGCGAGTTTCAGGTGCAGCATCTGACAAAGGCCGACGCAGGGCTCTGGGAATGCCGAGTCTCTACTACTGGGGGTCAGGACAGCCGGAAAGTCAAGGTCAACATTCGAGGTGAGGAAAGAACTGGGGGTGCTGGGTCACAGTGTGGCAATGAGACTCCCCACAAGTGGACTACATGCCACTCATCTTGTGTCACAGTGGCAACAGTGAGGTTTGAGTGGTGATAAAAGATTTGTTGGGATCTTCCCTTACCTGCCAAAACTGGAAGGAGCCAAGAATCTGTAGATGTCCTCATACTCTGCTCCTGGTTGCTCTCAGTCCAACTGATATCATTCCTTCCTTCACCTCCAGTGCCACCAGCACCCCTGAGCCCCCCCCGACTGCTGGCCAAGCAGAGTCGCCAGCTTGTGGTGTCACCTGTGGACTGCTTCTCTGGTGATGGACCCATTGTCTCTGTCAGATTGCTCTACAAGCCCAAGGATGATGTCTCGGTGTGGTCGTCCATTGTGGGTACGTGGCTGTCGGGATGGGTACGTGGCTCCTGTGAAGAGCCTGGAGTGTGCAGAGGTCTCCATCTTGCTCAGCAAGACCCTCTGTAGTGACACTGGGAGGACACTGGTGATAGGGTGGGGGTATGGATTTGATATGTCCTCTTGGTTAACAGTTGACAACAGTGAAAACATCACTCTCATGAACCTCCGGCCAGTGACCGCCTACGTTGTCAAGGTGCAGCTGAGCCGACCAGGGGATGGTGGTGAGGGCAGCAAGGGACCTGAGGCCATCATGGTGACTGAATGCCTAGGTGGGAAAGCCATCCCCTTACTCTGAACCTTTCCCTGCATGGCGCAGGGTCTACAAAGCCCCGTGGCTGACATGCAGTGAGGTTTCACTTCCTTTTTGTTCACAGAGCCCACAGTCAAACCTGTGATTGAAGGTTGGTCCATTGAGGAGAAAAATACCCTTCACGTCAACTGGAAATTGCCGAGTAACCATGAGCCTGCACATGGGTTCATTGTCCATCTCTTTGACTCCGCAAAGCAACTGGTCTGCAAGAAAAACATCACGTCCATTTCCGTGCTCTCTGCTCACATTGGGGGCCTGGAGTTCAATAAGGAGTATGGGCTGGAGGTGCTGGTGTATCACTGCACCAGCCTGGGGCCCCCCTCTGATCTCTACAAGGTCATGATCAACAGCAAAGGTGGGTGATGTGTAAGGCTGGGGTGAGGGGGTTGCTTGCCCTAGAACGTGGGAAACTTTAGAAGTCATTTCCCATATGCACCCTGTGAGGGATGAGAGCCCTCTATAATCATAGAATCTTCTAAGCTGGAAAGGACCCTTAAAGGCTGTCTAGTCCAACTTCCCTGCAGAGAACAAGGACACCTACAGCTCAATTAGGTGCTCAGAGATCCATCCAGCCTGACCTTGAGTGTCTTCAAAGACAAGGCTTCCACCACCACTTTGGGCAACCTGTTCCAGTGCCTCACCACCTTACTGTAAAAACGTTCATCCTTATATCCAGTATAAATCTCCCCTCTTACTTTGAAACATTTTCCCCTTGTCCTATCACAACAGACCCTGCTGAAGAGTCTGTTCCCTTCCTTCTTATAGCCCCCCTTTAAAATGAGGAAGTGAAATAGATAACCTGGCTTTAGAAAAGAGAAAAGGAAAAAAAAGAAATCCAGGGAATTCTAACAATAAACTGGTTATAAATGTAAGAGCAACCATCCCTGGGTTTGGCTGGTCCTGTATCCCAGCTCTGGTAGACTACAAGCAGTCACTTGCAGGTGGATGCTAGGTACATGGCAAAATTGGTCCTCATGTTCTCACTAGATCCAACAGCCTCCAGCACTATGCAGCTAAGAAACATCCAGAATGTGGCATTCAGGCCATGATGAATGATGCCCAAATATAGATCTGTCCTTCATGTCCACACCCATGCTCTCTCATACTTGTCTACACTTGTTGCCTTTACAACACTCTGTAGTAAGAAGTTTCTCAATACAATTACATTTGGGGGGGGGAGGGGGGATGGGGGGGAGCTGTTTCCTTTTGCTTGCATTAACCCTGGTAATTTCACCAAATGGCCACATCCCATCAGGCTGACCAACCTTTCTGGTAGACCAGAGGGAAGCAGGGCACAAAGTGTGTGGCTTCAGTGAGGTTGAGTGAAGTCTGGTACGTGCTGGGAGGGCTGTTAGGTGTCAGGTCTGCAGGATGTAATGCTTTCTCTGCTCTGTACTTTCAGAGCTTTGGGTAACTGTGGGATGTGTGCTTTAGGATGTGGAGAAGGCTCAGAAGAGGAAGTGGGAATGATAAGGTGCCTGACAAAAATGAGTTCATGTTTACCTCCTGACATCACACAAGCATAGACAGAGGGTCCATAGAGGTCCCTCATGTCTGGCACAGCTCTGGTTACCATCGCTGTTGACAGGAGCTGGAGGGCGCTTGTTCTGCCATCAGCGCTCAGCCACTGCAGCATCAGGAGCCCTGTGCTGGTACTGATGCTCCACTTCTCTTTCCAGGGCCTTCCTCCCCACGGTCGCTCTCAGCAGAGCCTGTGTCTGACACAGCCATCAGGCTCTACTGGCAGGTCCCTGAGTACCCCAACGGGGGCATCACCAAGTATATTGTAGAGCTGCAGCAGGTTGGGGGGACCAGCGAGCCCCAGTGGATTGACACTGACAATGGTGCTGAGACAACCAAGATCATTGGAGGCCTCAACGCCAGCACCACCTACCAGTTTCGTGTCCGAGCCAACTCCCACGTCCCAGGGGAGTGGAGCCAGCTGGTGAAAGCCAAGACCCTGGGGGATGGTGAGTGGGGAATCCCTGCAGGCCTGCACCTGCACCCAGCCCCTCAATGGGTGTCTCACCTCTGCAGTCCAGGCACTACCAACTTTACCTCACGGCACTGGGAGCTGTGGGTGGGCTGTGGTGTCTGCATGGGCTCCCAGTGTGCCAGGACAGGGCTGAGGTCTTGTTGCTCAGCCATCCATGCAGCTCCATGCAAGCTCCAGCCATGGTCTACCATCCTTCTTTTTGGCAGGAGCACTGAGTGTGCCACCCAGCTTGGGCAGCCAGAGCACCGAGCAGTCGGGAGTAGACCAGCAGCTGCTCTTGGCCATCATCGGCTCCGTGTCCGTCACCTGCCTCACCATCCTCTTTGCCCTGCTGGCACTTTTTCTCATCAAGAAGAACTTTTTCCACCGGCGCCGCACCTTCACATACCAGTCTGGCTCGGTGAGTGCTGCCTGCCCTGCCAGGACAGTGTCCCCAGCTCCCCACGTCCCAGCCCGATCCAGGTCACGCTCCATAGCCTCCAGTCCGGATGCAGCCAGACCTCACCTCCACACAGAGAGGGTGCGGAGCCCACCTTTGCCCGTGATACCTGCCCTGTTGGCACTGCCGTGGGGCAGAGGGGTGCCCGATGCCTCTAACCTCAAATGCTGCCCTCTTGCAGGGAGAAGAGACCATCCTGCAGTTCAACTCAGGGACCCTGACCCTGACGCGCCGGCCCAAGCCACAGCCCGAACCCCTCAGCTACCCCATCCTGGAGTGGGAGGACATCAAGTTTGAGGACATGATTGGGGAAGGGAACTTTGGGCAGGTCATCAGGGCCATGATCAAAAAAGATGGCTTGAAAATGAATGCAGCCATCAAGATGCTGAAAGGTGAGCGTTGCGATGGGGCAGGCAGGATGAAAGCAGGTGGGGATGTGGTGGGAATGAGGTTGCATCCCGAGCAGCACTTTGGGCTGAGAAGGGGCAGGAGCTGTCTGTGGAGGACTGGTGGAAGGGTCCAGGTGTGCATCTCTGCTTTGCTTCCAGAGTTTGCCTCAGAGAATGACCACCGGGACTTTGCTGGAGAGTTAGAGGTGCTGTGCAAGCTGGGCCATCACCCCAACATAATCAACTTGCTGGGCGCCTGTGAGAACAAGGGTGAGAGCTGTCCCCTTTTCTCCACTGGCTACTGCCCTTTTCTGGAGACAGCCTGATAAGACCTGCCTCTTCCTGCCCACAGGTTACCTGTATATTGCCATCGAGTATGCCCCCTATGGAAACCTCCTTGACTTCCTCCGCAAAAGCCGAGTTCTGGAGACTGACCCCGCCTTTGCCAAGGAGCATGGCACCGCGTCCACCCTCACCTCCCAGCAGCTCCTCCAGTTTGCTTCAGACGTGGCCAAGGGGATGCAGTACCTGAGTGAGAAGCAGGTATGTCCCCAGGCACACAGGGTAGGGTTGCGTTCCCCTCTGTGGAGCAGCTTCTCCCTATCTCCATTTCAAGCCCCAACTCTCAGTTCGACTGTGGCCAATCACTGCTGTCCTGTCTCAGTTCATTCACAGGGACCTGGCAGCCAGAAATATCCTGGTGGGAGAAAACCTGGCCTCCAAGATCGCCGACTTTGGCCTCTCCAGGGGGGAGGAGGTCTACGTGAAGAAGACAATGGTGAGAGAGGAGCTAGGGGACTCCATGGATCCTTCATGGATGCAGAGGGCAGGATCCCCCAGCAGTGGGAAGCCAGCTGCACCATCCTCCCTCCTTCCTTGGGATGTCCCCTGAGGGTCACCCTCTGTTTCCCCAGGGCCGCTTGCCAGTTCGCTGGATGGCCATCGAGTCCCTCAACTACAGCGTGTACACCACCAAGAGCGATGTGTAAGTCCGCAGACACCAGGGCTGGGACACAGACATGGCCACCCCTGTCCCTCTTCTTGGTCCCATCCAGTCTCACCATGAACCCCTTCAGCTTGTCCCTCTCCTCGTGAGTGGGATACAGTTGCTGGCTCCATCACAGCCTAACTTACTATTTCAGGTGGTCCTTTGGCGTCCTTCTCTGGGAGATCGTCAGCTTGGGTAAGGCTCATCTTTTGTCCCCTCCACCCACTCAGGTCCCTGCAGGTCCTCCTGCAGCTCTGGAGGGGACAACCCAAGGGATGTCAATGCCCCCACCACAACCACACGTGTTTGTGGCTGCAGGGGGCACACCGTATTGTGGGATGACGTGTGCTGAGCTCTACGAGAAGCTGCCCCAGGGCTATCGCATGGAGAAACCCCGCAACTGTGACGATGAGGTGTAAGTTGGCAATGCCCTGCGTCCTCCCTATTACCTGTGGGGGTTCTTGATGGCTTCTGGCAGCCTATCCTGGTCCCCTGTGCACCACAACTGGAGGAAGAGCCCCCTGCCTTCTATGCCATGCTTTTGTCTCCTGCCCACTTCTCCCCATCTCCCACAAGCAGCCTTTCTGCCCACCCCACCCTGTGCACACACACTCTCTGCCCCCAGGTACGAGCTGATGCGGCAGTGCTGGCGTGACCGTCCCTACGAGCGCCCACCCTTTGCCCAAATCTCCATGCAGCTCATCCGCATGCTGGAGGCCAGGAAGGTGAGTGGCCATATGGCCAGCCATCCCCATGGAATCCCACCAAGCTCACCTCAGCATCTCCCCTGCTCCTGACTTGTGTTCCCATGCAGGCATACGTGAACATGGCTTTGTTTGAGAACTTCACCTATGCAGGGATTGATGCCACTGCTGAGGAGGCCTGAAGCTGCACCCAGTTCCATGCAGCTCCCAGCAGCTTGTGCCCCCATAGCGGAGGGGTAACGCCAACCCTCAGTCTGCTGGGACACCAATGTGGGGGCTGCCTGCTACCCCTGCCCAGCAGGTGACCATGGCTGAATAACAGTGGCCCCCCTGGAGAGCATCCTCCCTGTAGCAGGACTGCACTGTGCCCTTCCCAGTTGCTTCCTGATGCATGCTGGCTGGGGGACAGCCCCAAAGGACAAGTGCCCGCTGTGTGCCCTACACAGTGTCTGCAGCAGAAAGAAGGGCCCGGTCTCCAGGAGCTGGGATGCTGCAGCCCACGCCCTGGCAAGACACAAACATCCAAACTGTAGAGTGAGAAGTGGAAGCAGAGACCGGGCAGCTCCCTACTCTGCAGTTCTCAGCATGCTCCACTGCAAGCAGATGGCGAGCATCACTCCGGCATGGGATGCAGCAGCCCCAGTGAAGGAGGAATGATGTGCACAGTCTCCAGCTCAACACTGCCCCTTGGAACTCAATGGCTATGTTTTATGGTCAATAAACATTGTACAAGGGACATCTGGCTCCGGTGGAGGGATGGGGAGTTGATGCTTTGCTGCTCTTCTGGAGGATGTGCCCAGTCCCCAGCCCATCCCTCTGGGGTGTTGTATATGACCCCATGGCAAGGCATTTTTCTTTCTGGGGAACAGCCTCTTTCCCCCAGATCACAATTGAAATGTGTCAATACCATTTCAGTTTCCCACTCTGGCCTCCAGTGCTATTTAGCAGCTGCAGCCATTGATGAGCATCCTCTGCTCCACGAGTGAGGTTGCCAGTGAAACAGTGACAGGAACCAGCTGCTCCGGTGTGCCACCACCTCTGCACCTGCCTGCTGAGCTGTGAATGGCACATGGGGCAGCCATGCTGAACCAAAGGGTTTGTGCATGTTGCCTGCAAAGCCAGGTCACCAGATGGAGAAGGAAGTGGGACTGGATTGAAAAAACAATGTGACAAACTGGTGCTGGCTGTTCCCCCTTTCCCCTCCATGCCCCCAGGATGGCAGTGCCATGGGGCAGATTGATGCCAACCTGCCTGTGACACAGCGGGGCCACACAGAGTGGAGCAGCGCAGGGTGAGATGGAGCCAGAGCCACCGTCCCACACCCTGAGTTCTGACATGACACCGAGGGTGTGGGTATCCCCAAGTCCCACAGTCTACCCAGCCCATAGAAGGGGCCTCCCTGCTTCCTCAGTGGCTGTTTTTCTTCCCACCCCATGCCGCTAGCCACAAGGGCAGGACATACCGCCTATCTGATGGGAGCAGTCTCTCTTGGCACTGTGGCTGCTGGTGGAGGGGCCGCAGCACGGTGGTTTTGGGCATGGGGAAGTGTTGGTGATGGGGTGAGGGGAGCCTCCAGCCAGGCTTCCTGAGCAGCACAGCCTATACTTCCCAGATAAAGGTATCACCCCACAGAGCCGGGGCAGCAGCCGGGGCGCTGGGAAGTACCAAGCGCAACAGGCGGGATGGCAGCCTGCCTGCACCAGGACTGGCTGCCTGCTCTGCTCACTGCTGTACTGCTGATCCGGCACAGCCCTGCCATGGACACTGAGCCAGTGACATCCCAAGGTAGGTCCTGGGGTCATTATTCCTCCACGGGTGGATCACAGGGAGCTGCGCCCTGCAGCAGCCAGGGAGGTGCAGGATGAGGGAGGGGGCTTCAGGAGGGTCTGCTGGAGGATGCGTTTGGTCACACGTAGGGCACTCCAGGTTCTTACAGCAAAGGGGTGCCCTGCTTCCTGCAGCTGCCAGCCACCAGTTTGGGGTGGCAGCCCTCAGCCCCATGACATTATGCTGCTCCTACGTAACGCAGCGGCACTGCCCAGCTTGGTGCTACCTTAGTGCCCCATGGGTTCTTTCCATCCAGCCCTGAGCCAGCCCCGGCAGTGTCACTGATGCTTTAAGCTCTCTCCTTAGGCCCTTTTACTCTTTCTATAACACTATATAAAGCATTAACTGGACAAAACGTTTGATCTCATGCTCCTGTTTTCACATTCATCCAAGATCTGTGGTCAAACTGCTATAGTGCTCACAGGAGCACCCTTTAAGTCACCCCTACAGGTGCAGGGGGAGGAAAGGAGGCTTTGGGCTCACCTTCTGCTTCTGTGCCCAGAAACTACTGCTACAGTGCCAGCGTGATGCCTGAGCTTGCTTTGTGCCAGCTGCAGAGATGTGCCATGTGGGTGCTCTGGAAACCCACAGGACATGGCCAGAGCAGAGGCATGCAAGTGGCTGTGCCATCCTGAGGCTGGGTGGGGGGCAGTGCCAGGGAAGGTCAAGAGAGGCTGGGGTGGCTTGGGGTGTGAAAAGGGAAGGGCAGGTAGGAGAGAGCGGGCGGTGGTCTGCGGGCAGGGCATGTGGCTGAGGAGGAAGGAGATGCCATTTGGGAAAGGAGAAATAGGGCGAGGGGTCAGGGCAAGGTAAGGGACAGGGAGATCAGGGGGGACACCTGGTAGACATCTGGGGACTGTGGCATTCCTGTGCTCATTCCTTTCACCTGGAGTGGGATCAGCCAGCAGCACAGCAGTGAGGTGTGATGCTCCAGTTCACCCCTGCAACAACAAGGAGATCAATGTGCTGGGGGAAGGGGGCAAGCTCTCCAGCAGAGCCCATTTGTTGCCAAGCATACCCCCGTGCCCAGGGCTGCAAACTCCACATAAGCCCCAGGCCCTTGCCTCTCCTGGGGCACCGCTCTCCTTATCACACTTCCACGTGCCTTCCGGAGTGAGTCGAGCTGGGGTGCTTCCCGCTGATCTCCAGAGTCTATCTGACCACAGGGCTATTTTGGGATGTTTGTTTGTCCCAAGGACCCTGTGTGCTGGGGAGAGGGAGTAGTGGTGATGTATGCATCCCTCAGTGCTGGCAGGGGACTGGGGCAGGAGGGGCCATGCAGGGGATGAGTTAGCCAGGGACTCCTTCATGCCCACCTTCCCACCAGATGCCATGTTGCTGGCAGAGGTGCCCGAGGACATCCTCTGCTTCTCCCGCTCCTTCGAGGATCTCACGTGTTTCTGGGATGAGGAGGAGGCAAGCGGGACACACCGCTTCTACTACTGGTACAGCAGGTAGAGCCGGCGGGGACATGGGAAGGAATGGTGACACTGAGGGACCACTGCCATGCCCAGATCCCCTCCCTTCAGCTGGCCCCAGGCTCAGGGTGCTTGAGGACCCCCATCTGTTCCTCAGGGATGCACCCACCATGTGTGCAGTCTCCACACAGCGCCGTGGGGCCAGTGGGATGCGGCACATCTGCGTGTTCCCCAGCCAGGATGTGCGGCTCTTCACCCAGCTCCACGTCCTTGTCCTGGATGCTGCCACCAACCGCACCAGGCACAGGCGGGAGCTCAGCGTGGATGCAGTGGGTGAGTCTCTCCCGTGGCACAACCCTAATCCCTACACCTAGGTGCCCCTTCCTCTTCCCACCCATCACTGGCAGCATCTGGGCCTTGCAGCACTGGGGATGCCCCTGCAGGTCTCATCGCCCCACCGGTGAACATCAGCGCCCACTGGGCCGGAGCCACAGGGCAGCTCCGTGTGTCGTGGCAGCCGCCACTTGCTGACTACCCCAACTTCTTCCTCTATGAGGTGTGCTACCATCCCATGACCCCCACAGTGACACCCCGTGGCACGGCACCCGGGGACCTCCCTGCCCATCCCACCAACAGAGCCCACCCTCCCACAGCCAGGGGAGCTGCAGCCTCCCAGGGAACACGGCAGGTACGTACAGGGGCTGCAGGATTTGGGGCACGTGGCAGCCCCCCACCCTCACCACTCTCTTTAGGGGCTGGTACAGGCTGACACGTGGGTGGTTCTCCGGGAGCTGCAGCCGGGGCTGAGGTACCACATCCAGGTGCGCAGCAAGCCCGATGGCACCTCAATGGATGGTGTCTGGGGGCCCTGGTCGGAGGTGGTGGTCGCAGAGACACCCCACTCTTCTGGTGAGAGACTGTCCGTCTCCGCTGCTGGGGGCTGCAGGATGCCCACACATGGGAGTTGGGTTCTGAGGGGTCTGGGAAGAAGCAGCCCACTCTGCCCTGGCTCTCACCTGCTCAGGGGACATCGGGCTGCACTGCAGCACTCCCGACCTGCGGTGTGTGCGCTGTGTGTGGAGCTGGGACCCTGCAGAGCACCACAGCACCCATGAGCTCTTCTACCGGGCATCTCCGAGTGGGGCTGACATGAGGTAAAGGGCACAGCAATGACACGGAGCTGTGCCTCCAAGCAGAGAGCAATGGCAGCAGTGACTGGCTGCCCGCTCCCTGTCCTCCACAGGGAGGACACGTGGCAGCGGTGTGAAGAGGCCAGCATGGGGACACAGGGCAGCCACACCTGCACCTTCCAGCCCACGGCCGGCAGCCCCATTGCCGTGCTGGTGAACGTCACCCGGCTGCAAGAGCCACCCGTGCTCAGCTACTTCAAGGAGCCCTTCTGGCTGCACCAGGCCGGTGAGTCCCTGCATTGCACATCCGTCGCACGGGGCGCGGTTCTGTCCCACGGCAGCGACACGTCCCCATCCCGCAGTGCTCACGGAGGCCCCGCGGCACGTGCAGGCGACGGCGACACAGGGCCGGCTCAGCTTGCAGTGGCTGCCGCCCCTGGAGGCGCTGGCTGAGCAACTGGAGTACCAGGTCCGCTACGGCACAGACAACAGCCCCGACTGGAAGGTGATGCAGGGGCTGGCACGGGGCAGCCGCAGGCCCCGCACAGCCCCAGCTCAGCTCTGCCCGCAGGTGCTGCAGGTCCCGCGGGCGGCCAGGAAGGAAGTGCTGGACCTCCGGCCCGGTGCCCGCTATCGTGCCCAGGTGCGGGCGCAGCCCGGTGGGCCGCAGTACCGGGGCAGCTGGAGCGCGTGGTCCCAGCCCGTCGTGGTCGACGTCGCGGCTGAAGCGGGTAAGGGCCGTGCGGGGCCGAGGGGCCCGGGTGGGACGAGGAGAATCGGCCGGCTCTGCGGAACCTCCCCTCCGTCGCAGGTTGGGTGATCCCGAGCGTGACGGTGGCACCGCTGATCTTCACCGGAGTGCTGCTGGGGCTGCGGTGCACCTTCCCGTCCCTGTACAGGTAAGGCCGTGCTGCGGGCAGCGGGGTGCACGGGGCCGGGGGTCTGCCCACATCGCCCCGCTGCCCCCTCAGCAGCGTGAAGCAGAGGCTGTGGCCGCCCGTCCCCGACCTGCACCGCGCGCTGGGCACCTTCCTGCACGACAGCCCCAAGCAGGGCCAGGTGAGCGCCGGGCCGGGCCGCCTCCGGCCATCCCGCAGCCCCAGGGCCGCCCCGAGCGCATCTCCTCCCCCTCCCCAGCCCGGCGCCTTCTACAAGCAGCCGCCGGAGGACGCCGTGCTGCCCTGCCTGCTGGAGGTGCTGCCCGGACCCCGCGGCGAGCCCGGGGATCCTCCGCCAGAACCCGCCGCCAGCCGCCCGGCGCCCAGCACGGACATCGCCAACCACTCCTACCTGCTGATGGGCGGCTGGGAGCCGCGCGGAGCGCCCTCGGCCCCTTTTCCCCCTGGAATATAAAATATAGACCTTAAAATATAGACCAACCACGCGGTCTCCTCGCTCCTTCGCGCCGTCGCCGGCCCGCCCCATGCCCGGCTCCGGGCGCGGTGCAACCCCCGGATCTCGACCCTCGCCGCCCCCT